GGTATTAGGAGCTTCTCTGTGCCCAGTGTGTACCTGCGCCCAGTGAGATCTGTTGTAGCAGTGTCTCTATCTCACACAACAACAGCTCCCAGCCATTGAACTCAAAGTCCCACTGTATAATGGGGCTCTCACTGTCATCTCTCTTTCCTACAACATCAAACATCTTAGTGACCCTCTGAACCAATAATACAGATATCAGTGAATAATAAAACGGATATCAGTAAATAATTATTTTATATTTTAATATTTACTTATAGATTTATAAGATATATAGATTCTAGAACCACTGCCAACACCAAAATTTAAACATAGTGATTAGTGTCAAGACACAAAGCAAACATTTCCACGTGTGAAAGTTTCCTCTATTACAGTATTGAAATCCTGATCAGACTAAGGACAATTCAAGTATTTCATCTACACAATGTTTAACCTGATGACCAAAGTTACACATAGCGAGATTTCCAAAGCTTACCAATTGACAAGAAATTTGATTTTTTTTGTACCTGGTATCAAGACATTTCTAATAGACCACCTTTTTGAAATTTTCGTTTACAGTAATGACTCTTTCTGATCATGCTTTAAACAATGTTCATACCCACACGTTCCGTACTCACCTGTAGTAGGTAAACACTGCCCTAGTGATCCTGCATCTATCTTGAAACTCCCTGGAGAAAAAAGCGTTATCTGATAAAGAAATCAATCTCAAGACAGGAGGATCTAACTTTCCTTCTTAGTAAAACTCGACATCTCCTTAGTAATAATAATAATAGACATTCTTTATTGAGGGTTAATACATGTTTAGCAATGGGCTAATCTTCCACATGGTCCTCAATTATAAGTAGTTCCTTAATTGTTAATATAGTGGTAGAGAAGTTTTAAATAAGTGTTAATAACATTTCTATAGTGGACCTCAGGAAGATAAATGGAGGGTGGGGGTCACACAAAAAATATGCCTCAATCTCTCCTGACAGTAAATCCCATCTCCCTTAGTCAATGTCAATCTCCCTTCTTTATAGAACTAATAATTCCCTATTTAAAAACAAAGTTATGATAATCACTGGTTTGACAGTATGGTACGAAATTAAAACATGTTTAACTGTAATATGCTATTGGAATATGCAACTAGAGTCCAGAAACAAGTTTCATCAATTATCTGTGTCAACATTAACCAGATTACACTATGTGTTGTATGGTTACCTCCAGGGTAGGGGATCTTGTTTCTTGCCAGCTGCCATATGAGTGGATCCTTGGTCTGGTTAATGTCCGACACAGCATTTCTGTCAAGGAACTCTGTGTAACACGGTAGCTTTCTCCATACTTCTACAATCTACAAAACATCAGGACATACTTCTACAATCTACAAAATATTAGGTCATACTTCTACGATCTACAAAACATTAGGTCATACTTCTACAATCTACAAAACATTAGGTCATACTTCTACGATCTACAAAACATCAGGACATACTTCTACAAAACATCAGGACATA